CCACTCTGAATAGTGTTTACCTTGAAAGTTTATACGGGTGTATTGCATTATTTTTGGGTTATCTTTTGGCATAAGAGAATTATATTCTGAGTTATTATTACATCATTAATGACTTAAGGTTATAACATGTCTTTAAGATATCCTCTTCTCCCATGAAAATTTAATTTAGAATAGATAAGGACTTTCAGAAAGAAGAGTTCTAGTTAAGTATACTATCATCATTTGATATAGAAGTTTTCTGTCCATCAAGCATATAATGATTTAATGCCTAAGGATATTTAAAGTAGGATTAAAACTCCTACATGACATCTAAGTAAGGATTTGGAACGGATAGGGTATTCATTCCTCCTAAACAAGATTAATAAGAAATTTTATATTTTTTCAAATTACTAATGATTATTAGGTCTCCCAAAATGCTTCTTTTTTAGTCTACTTGTTTTACGATTTCCTTCTTTCTTGGTCTCTAACGAATTTAGAAAAAACCCTTCCATCTTGTAGTGAATCAATTGGAGGTAAATTATCAACTGATCAAAATATCCCCAACAATGGTTATTGTTAAAGATAGCAATATTGAAGCATTAAGAACCTAAGTATTTACAAAAACACATGTAGGAGAAAATAGGAGGCTAAAGCTATCTCAATTTAGAAAAATATCCTCCACGATGAAAACTCGAATAATATCCACGTGATAAGTAAATCAAGTAAATAGGTTGCGTCAAAGCTCTCTAAAATAAAAGAATGGTTAGGACCTTTAAACTCTCTATATGTAATGATTTTGATGCAAACCATGACGTTATCGACAATAACAAATTCCTTGGTCATTTAGTTCATAACATAACAAGTTTATAATTTGTAGCACTAATTACAATCTTACATTTAATATCCCTTTACAAATTGAGAATTGGTTGAATGACTAGATACGATTGGTTATGAAAGATAGGAATCATCGTAAACGACTATAGAGAAAAACAGATGTTTCAATAAACATTAATGAAGAAAACTTGAAAGACATGATTCAAAAATGGACGAGATAGCATAATGGTCACAAACAAATATAATGGCAACAAATGCTTAAGCCCAAAGGTCTTGTATTAGTTCGAGAGTGCATCTAAACAAGTCCTCAACTATAGCTCGAACTATCCCTTTGAACACATTATCACATTATTAAAAAGGAATTATTGGGAACATATCAACATTGTCCAAGAACTAGACATTTCTAAGGTGACAGCAGTGGGCCCCAAGGGTGAGAAAAGGTTCTTATCCCTTCAAATTTTTAAAATATTACAATAATTATCTGATTACATAAGGGGCATCTTCCAATACCCACTTACTTGGGGGCTTTCTTCCACTTAGAAGAATTTTCGCTCACTAAAGTTTGTTCTCCCATTCAAGAGATTTCTTTCTCGCCTTGGGGAAGCTTTCTCTTTTAAAACTCATTTCCCAACTCAAGGAAATTTATGGTCTTTCCCAAAAATTTATCCACTTGTTCCTAGCAGGTAATCTCTTTAGTAGTATTTAAGTTTTCTATGGTTTTATATAATATGAAAGATTAAGATTGTTATTTGTTTTCTATCTCTAGTTGGATTCGGAGTGAAGCCCTAATTCTTTGATCTCTAGGTTTATTACATTTCAACCCTTATAACTCTACTTTTTCAAGCTTTTGGAACTATAATCATACTTCTTCAAATCTACAAATGTTCTAGAAGAAGTTCTAAAACATCTTCTAAGGTGTATATTACCTAATTTTTTGAACTTTAAACCTCATGATATAAGGGATGATTCCGAAGAACGTAAGCTTTGATACTAATTGTAACAACTTATTTTCTCCGTAGAGAAATGAGCACTACTCCACACATATAGCTTGATAAATTTACACAGCAATAAATGAAAATCTAAGATTCAATCATCCTTATACGGAATTATAAGACAGAGACTTATAAGATCCTTTACATTACATTGCTATAATATAATTAAATTGACTTTGCAAGACGAACTCTTACTGTCACTAAAGATTCTTCAAAGTCTTCTTTCGACCTTGAACTTACTCTTAATTTACATTAATCTGTATTCGGGAATGTGAATTAGGGTGAGCTTCACGGACCTAGTAAGAAAAATGGGCAATGCTCATAACAAAGACATGCACACACTCAATCACCAAATCTTCTAAATCAGTTTATTCAATAAACATTCAGAATTTCTTATTTCAGTATTATAACTCAGGTCATTAACATTTCCATAAATAATACAATTCAGTATTCAATATCACAATTTAAACATTAAGCAGTTCAATAAATGTTAGTTCAGTATTTTAGTATCATAAACTTTATCCATGACTTTCTATTCATTCCTATAAGTTTATATCTTATTAAAAACAATTTCACCGCGAGATGTCGTTTCTGCTGGTATCAACCAAAACAGTAAGGATCCCCTCTACCACGTGAATACGTTACAGTTTAGTCCACAGTTTACAGTTTGCAATACATAGTATTTAGTTCATAGTTCTTATCACTTTGTCATGTCTGGCTAAAGTTGTATCCATGGCTAGGGTTCACCACAATCACATGCCAAAAGGCTACGCACACACTCACCCTTCGGTGATACTGGTTAAACGAATTTTTTCATCTTTTAAAGATTCTTATGTTAATCTTTTACTAATCAGGTTCACACTAGATCTCCTACTCATACATGCACCTACTTATATATCATATACATATTATATATCAATAGGGCTACACAATAAGCAAAATACATACACTTTATATATACAGTTATCGACTCAAATAAGTGTATATAAAGACGCAACTCATACAACATAAATATACTTGTATATTCGCACAAGACATATATATATTCTAAAAGTAGACACATATAAATTGTTCACTCATACATACACACGTTGCACAACCTACAATTATACATTTATATTTATATATATATGCGTCACACACACATATAACTCAATAACTACCATGCATAAAATCTGTATAAACATACAAGTAACAATATGAATACATAATTCTATATCATACACAACATCATGTAGGTTTTCAATCATATGCAATTACACACACGCGAATATGATGAGTTCGCAGAACTCGTGGTGGAAACATGAACAGTTTATAAAGTCTGTAAACAATTCATTTTAACACAAACAAGTTTTTATAAAACATGAGAGCCTCTGAATGAGACTGACTCAATCCCTTACCTACAATCGAATCAAAAGATGTTGGACTCCTTATTCGCTTGGATTTACGTTCTCTTCCAAATCCAAAATTGTTCAGGTAATTTTCTCGTTTACAAACAGGAAATATGAGAATTAATTACTGACACTTATAGAAATAATTAGAACAAAAAGGGGATCGAGTTTTACCGTAACGCGATCTCGGTCACTTCTATACACGTGTCCTTGGTTCACCATGCGCCATCGTCGGAGTGTCATAGCCACCACACACGTCGCCGCAAGAACCAACACATGCCGCGAGAACCACCCACGCGCCGCCATACTTCGACTGAAACCCATCACAGAATGAACTGCGCATGCAGATCCGGTACGTACATGGTGAAATTACATAGGGAGGAGCCAAGAGCATGCGGGATCACGCGACCAACCGCCGCAAATCTCCTTCTTCTTCGGATGCACACCGTCATATAATTCCTCCGGGTTTCCAATCGCACAGGTTGTAGGATCGTCTCGACTCTTCTACTTGTCGTGAGGAGAGTCACGTACCGTCACAGACAGCCTTGTGAAGGTCGGTAACAGCCGTAACTCCCACTCATCAGTCCCTTTCTCTCTTTTCGTGCAACCCTCTTTCTCTCTCTATGCACATATCTCTCTATCTCCTCCATGGCTTGCTCTCTCTCTATTTTTATAGTCAGAGAGAGGAAAGCCCCATACGGGCCTTCCTCCTCTCTCTTCGATGGAGGGAAAAGGTGCGTACGCCTCTTCCTCCTCTTCTTCTTCGACGGTCGGAGACGTACATGCCTCTAGTTGCCCTTTTTTTTTTGTCACTAAAACGGCATAATTTTGATACTCTCAAAACGACACCGTTTCACATGCCTATATTTTTTATTTCACATGCCTGTAATTTTTCCTTCCTTCATGTCAGAACGGCATCGTTTTTGGGGTTTCCCAAAACGATATCGTTTTGGCTCTTCCTGATTTTAAAAAGCAGGTGTGCTGGGTCTTTACATTATAACTCTTAGAGATAATAGGTTACCATTTAAAAAGATATTTAAGAGAAGCATAAAATTACAAATCAAAAATCACATACGACCAAAAATACTATTCAATTTTTATTTTGACTTAAAAAATTTTGGTTTAACAAAAAAAAAAACAATTTTAAATTATTTTTTGATTAGTAAAGTTATTATTAATAAATAAATTATAAAATAAAATAATTTATTTAATTTATAATAAAGTAATATACATATTTATGGCTATGACTATGCATTTATATCATAATAAAAAATAAATAATGATTATACGTCAATTTATAGGTTTAGTTTATTACTAATATATATTTTATTCTTTTATTTACAGATGAATAATTTTTAGTTTTTGTTTCAAATTTACTTTTTTTCTCAAAATTTTAGCTTCAACTTCGATTTTGAACTTTTAGTTCGGTTCTGAATCAAACCTGTAGTTTTATTTTATTATCATTGAATAAATTCGTTTAATTCTTTTTATAGTCTTTTTTTTTTTTTGTTTTATCATTCTACGCATATATAATTTTATAATTAAGAATAATTTACATAATATTTGAAAAGATTTTAAATATAAAACACTAATTATAAAAATCGAACTCAAATAAAGTGTATTTAGTTTACATAAAGTAGCTTCTTCTTTTTTTTTCTTTATTTGCACAAATATATAAACTCATAAAGATAATTTATAAATACGAGCATTTCATATTTACTATTAAAAAAAAAAAAAGAGACTAAATCATTTCGGATGCAATACGAAGTAAAGACAAAGCTGTTTTCTTTTGGCTTCCAAATTTTCATTTATCAGATCGTTTGCTCAAAAAAATTTGGAAGCCATTAACTAAGCGAGCAGACGGGAAGAAGGACATCTGATCTTCTTTGAGCTGAGTCCACCTGATTCAATGATCTCAAATATTTATTTAGTGCTAATTTAATTATAAAAAGAAGCCCCCAAAAAAAAGAGAGAGAGAGAGAGATAAGAATCAATCACTGGCCTGTATGTAAGAACAAAGTAATGGAGAAAGAGAGCAATCTGAAGGCGAGCCAATTCAGCTCCTGGACAAAACCGAGCACCTCCTCCAAATGGAGAGTAGAAAGGGCTACTTCTCCAGTTCCTCTTTTCCTTCACCATAAATAAATTTTCTATATAATCTCTAAATGATGAACTCCATGAATCTTGGTTCAATTAGATTTTATTTCATGGTGGAAAGAGAAGGCAAAGGACCAATTTAAACAGTTTTTAAAAGCAACATTTTGTGCATCAGTGGATTAATGGATTTACGAGGTAAAGTAAAAAAAAAAAATATATCTTAGATCATTTTGTAGTAAATTCATATATGAATCTCAAACACTTTATTAATTGAGCCACACACAACTAACCGACCTTCCTTGGCACCCACAAGGACATATATGGCTTTAATGATATGTCCTCATCATTCTTTTATAATTAGCATCACATATAATGCTCTTACAGCCCTTGTGATTTTTCACTATGACTCACTCACTTGCCGTGTGAAGTTTAGACATTGATGAAGTCTAATGAAGAGTTGAATGAACTTTTTTGAGATCAATGCTCCTTGAATTTAGCTATTTCTTTGTAATTATAAATTTTGCTTATCTCTCTTATACACTATATTTTATTGAATAAAAATCATTCTCAAATTATATATTCAGATAGGGTGTCCAATAAAAGAATTTCCCAATCACTTTTTGTAACACCCAACTATTTTTATTATTTTTATTAATTCTATATAAATATAAATATGTATTAATTTATTTTAATGAAAATAATAATAATAAAAATGAGTAAAAATTCTTTAAAAATTTAATTGAAAATAATTTTGGGGAAAATATGTGAAAATTTAGGTTCTGTGAGTATTTTTGAAAGAAAAATCAGAAACTAGGGGGTCAAAACGTAATTTAGAAAAGTTGTGCCACGTCAGCCGCCCGGTCAATAGCCCCGACCAACCAGGACGCGCCAGATGGCAGAGACGCTGACGCGGGAGAGAGCCACGTGGGTTTTAGTTTTTTATGTTTTTTCGACTCACCGAGGGCCCTAAGTGTGTTTTCTCACAGGAACCGATGCAAGTTTGGCTGAATTCGGCTAAAAACGGCCGAAATAAGTCAACCTGAGGTGGATTGCCGCTGCGGGCAGTGGTGCTGTCGCCGCAGCACAGCGGAGCCACCGTGTCAGAATTCTGAAATTGGTCGAGTAGGCCCTGGGTCTAATTTTTGGGTTATTTAGGACATGTATATGTACCGTAAGCACGTTTCGGTTCCCGGAAAAAAATTCAGAGAACCTAGGGACTGCCCGCAGGCGCAGTAACAATCTAGTTTTCACCATCGAATCAAGGACCTCTCACCCTATTTCCTATCATGGAATTAAAGTTCAAATAAATGGTAATACTGTATTTTTTACAAATTAATAGATATGCATAATTAATTAAGGTTGCTAATGGAGCCCAAAATCGGCAATCATTCTCTGTCGATTCCTGCTTGATTTATTTTACAGTTTAAATAAATTATGGTATCTGGTCTATCTATTCTATGATTTTAAAAGTATGTGTTACTGTCTTACTTGACCACTATGTGATTTTAGAATTTAAGATATGATTGTATTACTAGGTGCATGTTTAGTATTTATGTGATTATGTTCAGCTTGGTAACA